AACATCTCATCTGCAGGGCCACAGTGTCCAGTGAGGATATGTGGTTTTGTGCTTATCTAATTAATCCTGAACAGCATTATTACTCCTTCAGCTGAAGGCATTAGCAGAAGTTCAAGGCAATATTCCAGCAGTGCCTGGTGTAAGCACAAGCTGCGAAACAGAGCAGCTAGGAGAGGGGGAATGGAGGCATGCCATTGTGTTTCTAGATATTTAATACAGACAGTTCTTCCTCTTCTCTCCTCAGTCACTGCAGTATCTGATGTTGCAGCAGCAATGAGTCTGTTAGAGCACAAATAAGCCTGTCCTCTCCCTTGCCTTGAGCGAGAGGTTTGCTCCTTAAGTTCAGCTAAGTTCAACTGGAAATAAGAGACATCTGCCTTTCCCATTCTGCTTCTGAAGAGATCAGAGGACAGAGCTGTAGTGCAGACGTGTGGCAGATTGCTTCTGCTGTAGCAGTGCTGAGGGAAGGCTGCTCTTCCATGGGCTTTGGTGAGTCAGTGCTTCTGTTTGCTTGCAGCCAGCAGGTGCAGGTTTGCCCACAGCTGCCAGCCCGGCGGTGCCGCCTGCTGCTGCCCAAAGGCAGGAGCAGGCAGGGCCTGGCCTGCCACCAGCAAGTCCGCTCCTGGGCATGCCTGCTGAGGGAAGGGGTGAAACGCTGGGGAGGCTGGTCTTGAGGAAACACATTCTGCTGCTGTCGCGCAGCTCCAGTGGCTCTGGGATTTCCTCTGAGCAAACGTTTGCCCACTTGCCACGTAGCGAGACTCGGTTTCCACCTCTGCAGTGATCGGCTGGTCTGCATCTGTCGCGTAGCAGCGGTGCATTACTCCGCAGCAGCTCTGCAGAGGTCTGCAGTGGCACGCTCTTCTTCTGTGAGGGATGTCCTGAGGTTTTTCTTTAGTTCATTAACAATTTTGTAATGTTAATGTCATTCTAGTGACTTTGGGTCAGAGCAGCTGCCTGCCTTGCTCTCTTTCTGGTTGATTGTTCGAGGTTCCTGGGAGTACCATGAAAACAGCAGGTCCTTATCCTGCGGAAGAGAAGTAGATTTACTTAGTTTTACATTAATTGGCTCAACTCTCATTAAAAAACTGAATTTGGGTACCTTTTTAATGCTAGTTGGGCCATGGTGAAGTAAGTGTCCGAGTGCAGGGGAGGAATGGCAGAAGGTGGACTTGGTGTCCATCGCCTGTGGATTTGACTCTGTAAGTGAGAGAGGTGGGTTTGCCTTTGTTCCTGGGAATCCCAAGCCTTTATTCCTAGGAATGGCTGCAAAGTCTTGTGGCTTTTGGGGTTTTTTGCATTTTTGGATTTTTTTTAATTTTTTTTTTTTTTAATTGGTTGGAAACAGAAGTGCTGAGGTACTAACAGTCTGACTCCTGTTCTTACCTCTGCCATCAGAGTGGTTCCCAAAGAATGTTTATTAATATGGTGATAGGTGCTTTATATGTATAAAAAAATAGATATAAAGCTTTCCCCAGGACATCTGGCTGCATCTGCCCTGTGTGATGGAGCAGTCCCCTGGGGAACGTGGGGCTCGGATGCTCTAATTGATGTAGCAGTATCTTTTGTTGGAAGTGTGGCTCTGAGAGGCAGCACTTGCATCTCTTGGCACGACTGTTCACAGTGCCTCTGCTTACAACTGCTGTGTATGATCTGCTTTGCTTAGGCACTAGCTGATGATGGATTTTGTAGCTGTTAAATTAAAGATAATTGCAGGCTTAGGAGGACTGTGTGGTGACTACCAGAGGGGGGTGGAATATGTGCAAGCAAAATGTGCAACGGAGATTAGCATTATAGTGGTGAGATCTATGAGAACTGTAAACCAAAAAGGAATCTTTCTTCTCCTTGCTGGCCCAGCTCTCAAGGGGATAAATTGAGTCTCTTGGGTTCTGTGTCTAGTCTGAGGCATTTCTGAAGGGCCGTAAGGACTTGGCTGGAAATGCCTTAGAGGTGCCAAACTGCTCCGTACTAATGCTGACAGCAATGAGCTGGCTGCCCTGCAGTGGCACTGGAGGCAGAGGCTGTGTTGTGGGTGAGCGAGTGGGCCGAGTGGATTCCACTAGTGCCTGAGTGCTGATGCTGGACTCTGGGAGCCCCCCTGCAGCTCTTGAATGAAAACATGCCTTTAGTGACACGGTTAAAAAAAGGAAAAGGCCTGACAGCAGTTGTTTCCATGACAACAGAAAGAATTGCCTGCAATATTTCAGCTCATCAGCCTGGAGAACAGTCTGATTGATAGTTACATATGGGTGGTAGAGAGATAGCAGAAGAGGGGAGGCCAATTACATTGCATTTTCCTTGTCCTTGAATGCCTGTGGCCACAGCAACTGTGGAGGGCAGTTTTTCCTTGCTTTTTTTTTTTTTTTATTCCCCCGAGAGTGATCTGCTGTCCCTTGGAAGTGCCTGTACAACCTGCCAGCTGTGGATACGTGACTCATAGGCTCTCTGGTTCAAAGCCTATGTTGTGAGTGCAGGGAATATGGATATTTGTCTCCTTGATTGGTGATTACCAAATAGTTATTTACCATATAAAGAATATCTTGGAGGTTTGAGCACATGCTTCCAGCATAAGCAATCTGTACTCAGGACATTCCGCTCTCCTTGGATGAACGTCTCAAAGGCAAGATGCATGTGGCTTCAGGAGAGTAACAAAACGATTCAGGCTTCAGGAAACCTGTGGTGGGTTCAGTGCATGTTCCTCCAGAGCACGTTCCTGGGCTCGCCAGCTCTGAGCCATCTCTGGGACATTCACGTGATGAAGGGGTGGGTGGCCAGGCTGTGCCCTGGCTGCGCTTTGCTCACAGCGGAGTTGGGAGGGGAGCCTGTGCTGGAGGAGCTGCCAGAAGAGAGCGACAGGTAAAGGTGCTGTGGGAGAGCGTGAGAAGACAAACCCAAGGGTCTGGGTAAAGCGTTCCCAGATTGAGAGTTTTGCTGGGGGACAGGATGGCTCTCGGGTGGAGCAGAAGGCCCTGCCAGTGCAGGGTGGTGGGCTGCTGCTGGGGGGGGTGTTTTGTCACCTGGGGAAGCCAAAGCTGGTGCTATTGCTCTACATGGTGGTGTACCCATCTCACCACAGTGTCTGTGCTCTGGATTTTTTCCGAGTCACTTTCAAGGCAGCTCACTTCAGTTGATTTTCATTGCCCAGTTGCCAGCAGGGTTTCCCTTTTCCCTTAGGTAGTGATTAAAAATTGAATCAAAGACTAAGATAATGTGATCTCTGGCAAAATGTTCCTTCTGCCCCCAGACCTTACCCCTTGCAGACCGCAGCTCATTATCCACTTTGGGCAGGGCTGCTCAGAAGGAACCTTGTCCAAGGGGCCTTTAGCTCTGCCCGGGACATGGGCGCTTCCCTGGGGCCATGAGACAGAGCTGCAGTGCAGACTGCAGCCCCTCGGCAGCAGCAGCCACAGGCTGTACCTGAAACCTGGATGGCAGCATACCCCAGGCTTAGGATAACTGCAAGGTTAGGATAATTATTGGAGTGTGCTTTCAAGGGTGTTTGCTGAGTTTTGCTGGCTCTTGTGAAGAGGTGGTGGTGAGCTCTTCCAGAGAAGCTTGGGAGCCTGTCTCTGTAGCATGTGTTTATTTCCCCAAGTAGTTCTGGGTGTCATCTTCACAGAGCGTTTGAATGTGCTCCTCAAACACACCGTGAAGCACAAGAAGTACAGAGCAAGCTGGGTGTTGCACTGCAGCCCCACAGAACACCTGCCCTGGGCGCAGGGCCTCGCTGCTGGTCAGAGCCTCTAATCGTGGAGAGGAGCATGCTCGTGCCTGACCGGGACTGCTCCCGACGCCTGGTGACCCCGACAGGCTCTAGAGGAACAGGGAAGGCCCCTCTGCCTTCGTGGGGCCAGAAGTAGAGTCTTAATTCTGGTTGATCGCACTCTTTGAAGGCAGTACTACTAGTTCTTCATCTTGGGCTTGATCCATCGCCCAAGAGAGTTTAAAGTAAATGCAGCTTCAGTCAGTACCCACTGGTAGGGTTAATAGCCCTTGGGAAATATATTTTGGGGAAAATATTTGAGAATGAACATTGAACGTTCCTTTAAAAATAGATCCCTGGAGACAACAGATGCCAGATTGCTGCTCATGAGGGAGGCTGTTCTCCCTGGCTCCTGTTGTAGTTTCTTGATGATGCTTTTGCTTTGGAATATGAGCAGAAACATTCAAAATAGAAACATTGTGATGTGATAAAATGGAACAAACCTACAAGACTCCGTGATGCTCTGTCATCTCTCCCTGGGATATGTAAATGATGCCTTTTAAAGCAGTTTGAGTATGTGTGCAGCCCTCCTTGCATTATGCTCCTGTTGCAGGCTGTGGTCCCTCTATTTGCTACTCTGTTTGTCTTTGCCTGCAACTCTGTAACTGCCCCGTTGCTGCTTGGGGAACCCTTGTACCCAACTGATGGTACCCCCAAACGCTGACACGCACAGTCTGTGCTGGATCACAGCCTGCTGCAGCCAGAGCTGCATCGGGACCCGGCAGGGAGGCTGAGCGGGCTGGGGGACGCTGTCGGGAGATGACGAGAAAGGACTGGGGGGAGCTGCTGCTGCCTGGGGAGAAGCCCAGGAGAGGCTGCTCCTCCACAGAGACCCATTTACTTGTCTTCCCAGCAGGCTGTGGGGGAGTTCTCCCATCCCTTTTGTCTCTTTTTTTGCCTCTCCTTTTTCTTTTCTTTTTCATCTTCCCCCAGAGGTAACTTAGTATTCTTAGTCTGTCTGCCATCAGCTGCAGACCCCAACGTTAAGTTATTGTGGATGTAAGGGTATCTCTGTCCTTTGTGCAACAACAGGATTTATTTTTTTTTTCCCAAAAACTAAGGTGCACACAGTGGCTTCAAGCCAGAGGAAAGACAGTTAAAAAAGCACCTGAACAGGCTGCGGACCAGGTGCTCCAGCCAGCAGCTCCAAGGACAGGGGCATGGATGGATTTTGGTGTATATGAACTTGACATCTTGTTCTGTGTTGTTTCTGTAACCTTCTCACTCTCTTTATCAGACAAGTTCAGAGTCTCTGTTGGATCCTCAGCAAATCCAAGCTTTTGACCAACTCTGCCGACTCAACCGAGGAACCTCCAGAGTACGTACCATCTGTTTTCTTTTCGGTTTTAAACTGGTGAAGGGTGTTTTGCATGTTGTCACGCCAGATATTAGCACTGGCAGCGTGGGCTTTGGCTTTTCCCTTGGGTTTTGTTTAGTGCTGGCAATTGACTGTGCGTGGAGCTGGCTGTTTCACATCACGAGGCAGCCACGCTGCCTCTGACAGAGCTGGGGAATTCGCTGGCAGTGAAACCATGGAAATGCCTCTGGCTTTGGGGCTGGGCCTGAAAAGTGTCCACGCTGTGAGGTGTCTTGGGTTCTTTTTAGATTTGCAAATAACCTCCCTTACAAACACTGTGCGACTCCCACAGTTGCACAGGAGGCTCCCTCCTCCTGCCCCCTGTGTTGTCCCAAGGAGAGCACAGCTCTCAAAGTCCCTTGCATTTTCCTTGTGCCTTCTGCCTGCTTTGGCTGCAGTTGTTGGCACTTCCAGCTCTTTCTGGCATTGTTTTACAATTATGTAACTTTAAAATAACCTGGAAGGGTGTTTAGTTCAGACTGTTGTCCTGCACTGAGGCCTATAGGGTCACTACATACCATAAATACCGTTTTCATTGCACGTGTTAAAGTTGTTCTAATTGCTGCAGGAAAAAGATGAGCCCCTCCATGAGCACTTTGCCTTGCTGCACCTTGCACTGTTGCTTTTAGGCAGCCTGCCCACTGCCAGACAGCAATCTGACTGGGTTTTGTCTCACAGCTGGCTCTGCTGACAGAACTGTCTCGCGGCCACGGCGGTGAAAAGCATGGGCTGCTCAGCGTTTCCCACGGTGACCCAGCCACCAGCAGCGTCTTCCAGAATGAGAACTTCCAGCTCCACCTGGCCCCCCCTCCGCTGGCTGAAGACTAGCTTGCTCTCCTACCTTCAGCCCTGGCAAGTTGGTTGCAGGTTGTGGTGGCGGGAGCCTTTCCACCACAGCGCTGGGCTCTGCCGCCTTCCCCAGAGCCCGCTGTGCTGAGCTGGGGGTTTGCAGCACTGGGTCATCTCCCGGCTCTGCTGCTGCTTCTCACTAAACCGAGGCAGTGGTGAGGCAGCTGGGCTGGAAGTGTGAACTCTGGGGGCAAACCCAAGTGTGCCGAAGCACCGCGCAGCGCTGGCTGCCTGTGCTTCACCCGGAGGCAAAGCCTTTGCCAGAGCACCGAGTCAGGTCCACTCCCCCGGAGGGGCACAGCCTGTCCTGTGCCCAGAGCTTGTGTTTCACCGTGCTGTAGTGTTCTGGTGGATGGGTGCCATACCTGAGTTCTAGCTGTAATAAAAGCAGCTGTTTTGCCAAGGCCTGGCCTCCTGAATCATGGCAGCAGCTGTGGGGGCTGAGGGCACAAAACAGGCAAACCTGGAAAAGGCTGAAGAATGCAAAAACCAATACATGTGTGAGCAAACTAAGCTGCCCACAGTGTGTTCTTACAAACTTCCATTAAAAAAGCCCTTGGTTGAACTTAGCTGTGTGAGCTGTGCATGTGGGCAGTAGGTAAGGGGGCTGCTGGGTGTGCAGTGCTGCTGCCTACTGTTTTCTTAGGACGATTGCCACTGACGTCTGGCAGAGAAAATGCATCTTGTCACTGCAGGTGAAGCACAAGCCTGCCCCCTGCCTTGTACCTATGTTGGGGGGCTTGGGGGGGGGTTGGGGTGTAAAAAGGTGCTGCAGGCTCTCGGGGGCTGCAGAGGGGGAGGACTGGTGTGATGGGTGCTGATGGTCAGAGGATTGTCAGTACTAAGCTCAACCCACTGGTCTGCAGTACCCAACTGGGCACCCTCCCGCTGCAGCCTAAGCCTGGTGGTGCTTCTGTCCTGTCACCTCTGGCTTGTGAAACACACTCCAGAACCCGCCCTAACAGCGTGTTACTGATCACGGATCATTATCTTGCCTCTCCCCCGTGTTTTGTCACTAGCTCCTGGGTGTTTTGGGGTACCACACCCTGAGGGGCGCAGCCTCTCCCAGCAGAACAGCCCGGGTGGGTGTTGCTTGTTGCACGGAGCTGGGGGCTGGGCCGCGCAGAGCCCCTCGGCCTGCATGCAGGGCCTGCCCCGGTGCTCACGCTCTCCCCACCAGCACTAAGAACCTAACAGTGGTGCCCCAGACTGCAGTTTCCAGCCTGCAGACACCTGTGAACCTAGTCAGAGGTAACTCAGGGGGCTACAGCCAGCTGAATTCTGCCAGGCCTCAGCCTGGGCCTGCAGCTCTTCTCCTCGCTGACCTCCCCTCACTGGGGGCAGCTCTTACAGGTGAAGTGGTGGAGTCCCCATCCCTGGAGGGGTTGGAGACTCGGGCTGACCCAGCGCTGAGGGATCTGGTGGAGTTGGGAACGGTCAGGGTGAGGGTCATGGTTGGACTGGATCATTTTCAAGGTCTTTTCCAACCTTGATGGTTTGGTGCCCAAAACTGGGCCTGTGAGGTGCCCAAACCCCAGCAGGGCTGGGCCTGGTGCCATCTATCTCATCCCATTTCTCTGCCTAGCACAGGGTGCATTGCAGGTGCTGCCCTCTGAAGCAGTAAGTGACCCTTCCTTTGCTGGACATACCAGAATGTTTCACTCTAATACGGAAAAACAGAGTTAGGACAAGCAGAATGTGAGTTGTTCAGTATTTTATTGAAGAGGAAATATACACGCCTCTCCCTGGCAGAGTGGAGTAAGGAGCCCAGGGCATGTCTCTTGCAGCACGTCTACACCAGCGTTTGTGCAAAGAAAAGAAACCACGTTTCTGAACTGGGGTGCATGATGGAGCACAGTGAGAAACCTGTCCCTGTGCTGGCTGCTGAAACGCTGTCCAGAACTAGCCCTGCCCCACACCTGGTGGCTCCACTGACCTTTTGCAGGTACGACAAAAAGAAGAGGCAGCTTATTGTGCTTAAGACATCTGAACAAATCCTGGGTAGGAGACACTCACAGCTTGTGAATATTGCTAATTACTTACAGTTAAGAAAGAATGTATCCTGACAACAGTGATACGAACCTGCAAGACCACGGGATCTTACCGCAAGTCTTGGTCATAAACACCCAACCAGCCGACGTCCACTGTGCTCCCAGCTGGTGCCCCCTCGAAGCGGGAGGTGGCGGCTCCTGTTTGCTCGCAAATAAGGTGAGCTCATGCTAAATCAGAGGGTCCCCAGGACCTTTGCTGTGCTTGGTGCCCGCAGCGAGAGCTGGCGAAGAGCAGCACCCTGTCCTCGGGTCCTGGGAAGGGTGCCTCTGCCAGCCTGTCCCTCCTCCCGGCAGGGAGAATCCACCCCTGGGGAGAGAGCTGGGGCAGGGCAGGCACAGGAGGGAGCTTTGTCAGCTCTCCACTCAGAGTACAATTGAAAGATTAAATATGAATAAATGCTGTAGGTTTATACATAATGCTTCCTTCTACCTATGGAATGTGTCTGAATGGTCAAAGGACACTAAAATGTTGTTAGAAACCTTCAGTTAACGAACACAGGCAACCCCACCCTTAAAAAATAAATAAATCCTATTTAGTTTACTACAGCCTCTGATTAAATGCCCTCAGAAAAAACAGAGTATTTTCAGGTGCCTGTTCATGCAATGGCCCAAGTTCCTCATTTAACAAGCATTGCACTTTTTTTATGTAAGTCATCAAAACTATAAAACCTATCATTTTTGTCTGAAAGTGTTAGTCTAAAAAGTACAGTATTATTTTATAACCATTTATGGTAAACTCCTAGCACACGCGCATGTGCACATACACACACTGTTGCCTAAACATTTTCTAAAGATACTGATTACAAAGTGTATAAAATTAGTAATACATTGTCAGGATACAGTGAGAGAGATGAGTCATCCTATAACATGGACTATAATCTAGTATCAATCACTAAACTGTACACATTTATACAGCCTTATATTCACCAATGACTTCTGAAACGTAAACAGCAAATACACAAAGAAATTCAGTAATGCTGTTGAAAACACAGTTATTACTGACTCCAACTGATTCAAGCTGACTGAAATCTGAGAACGACGTTTTGTTTTGTCAAGCAGGGCTGAAACCAAACTGCCAGCGAGACAGCTCACCCTTACCAGCTATTTGAGGAAGCCCCTGTTCAGAATCCACTCTTGAACTGGGTGCAAAGGAGCCAAAGCTTCCTCTCTCTGCTCAAATGACCTTAGCCTGTATGTAGCAAGCCTGTGGACCGCCTCCCACGGGCACCTCCACGCTGTCCCCAAGCTCTGCTGACACAGTGGTGTGGCTGATAAACTTTTCTTAAAATTTGTTATTCTTCAGGCAGATGCAGGCCCTGAGGCCATTTGGTCCTGAGTGCACGTGTCTGGCACCAAACAGCACAGGAGGAAGCAGCAGGCAAAGCTGAGGGCGGATGTTGAGTGTTTGGAGGTAGTCACTTCCTTTGCCTGTCATTTTATACCCCGGTCTAGCATGGTATTGGTTAGACGGCCGCGCTTCATCTCTGCCTGCTCCCCCCTCCTGCTGAGTTGTAAAAGCCAGATCCCCTTCCCGAGATTCATGTAGAGAAAAGGACCAGCTGATCCCCTTCTGGAGCAAGAGTTGCCTTCTCAGGAGCTTTCAGAGCCTGACCTAACTCAGCAGATGCTCAGTGCATAGCCTGGAGAAAAGTTGGAGGCACTTTGTGCGTTCTCTAGCCTGCCGTACCAACCCACTGGAAGAGTGGTGCTGACATCCTTCGCGAAGGGTCGCACCAGCACTAGAGAAAAGGATGGACAATGCGCAAGGACAGACAGAGACAGAAAGAGCCTCTTGTCGCCACACATCGTGTAGCTGTTTGAGAAAGAATAAGGGCAACTTGGTTTTGCTGCTCACAGGCGTGCCGCACCAGCTCACCCTCTGTGCTTTGGAGGCCCACGGCAAACATCCTGACAGATGGAAACATCTCGAGTGGCCCATCTGTGCATGAGAAGTAGCATATGATGTAACGCGGACCAAGAAAAGGGCCTATTTCGGCTATAAAAGTCTTCGGACTTATCACTACCTTATGTGCAGACGTGGGGGATTTGATCAGGCTGAGAACACATTAAAATTGCTCAGGCTGCTGCTAGTTCACCAGTATGTGAGTCCTGTGACTGCACTCCCATGAGGAATCTAAAATATCAAGTGCACCGGAAAAAAGGGATTGTCAGAAAAAACAGAAAATATAAATACTACAAAAGCAACATTACTGAGTGGGAACTGGACTGATCTGATAGCAACTTGTCGGATCACACGGTGGTTTCTATAGTCTCAATCACTTCCATTTCGCACTGCGAGGGTGATAAGAGCGGGCATTCATCTGGCTCCCAGCTGCTATCCGGGCTGTAATCCTCTTCCGAACTCAGCTCAGCCACCCCCTCCGTGTCCTCATCGCATGACTCCATGTAGTGAACCCCCACCGCATTGATCCCGGAGTCCTCGGAGCTGGAAGGGGACGAGCAGTGATCTGGTTTTGGTGTATTGCTCTCTTTTGTGATTAAGGCATTGCGAACAGGGACTTCCTCGGGCTTTATCTTGTGGGGCAGGGGGGGAGGCTGCCTCTGCACGTAGCACATCTTCCCGTTGATGCATTTCACACGGTAATTGTCAATGAAGAGGTCTGCGATTGTGCAGAACTGCGGGGAGTCGGGGGGCAGAGGGGGCTGGAAGACAGGAGCGAACTTCAAAAAGTGTTCGGTGAGCGAAACAGAGATCTGGATGGTGTTTGTAGACTCCCGAGGGCGAACGGGGATTTCGGTGCTGGGAAGCTGCTCTACCGGTGTCATGGGCTGATAGACATATTTACCTGTGGGGAAAACAGACAAGCAGCGTTTAAAGATTGTTATCTTTAAATTAGAAACAAACTGATGACATGATGCTGCCTTTAAGTCTTTAAATTAGATCTTTAAATTAGAAACAAACTGATGACATGATGCTGCCCCTTGGCTGTTAACAACAACCAACGGTTCCCTGCAGTCAGCAGCCGCTCCGTTTTCAGTGGTCTCAAGGTGTTTAGTCCTCTCCTGGTACTGATTTTCTGATGCTTAACACTCGGTAAGCACACCCTTCCTTACCCTGGTGCTGCTCCTCTCCCTGCCCCTGCTTCGAAGACACCTGTAGGACATCACTAACTCCAGAAAATTAACTCCAGGAGCACAACTCCATAGCTAAGAAGTGGGACAGACAGCAAGTCTGCCTGCACCCCCTGCTACGGGAAAGAAAACTGAAACAATGCTCAGAGACTTTTTTTTTTTTTTTTCACTGAACACAGAGCAGTTCTAGCTTACACCTTTGCTACAATCATCTAAATTTTATACTATAATTATTATTATTATTATCATTCCACATGACAGTGAGTCTCACTGTGTGCATTTCCATGTTCTTTTTATCTGGGGACTAAATCGTGTTTTTCTGTATTATAAACCAGAGGTTCATACATGACTGCAATTATAATTTTAAGGCAGAAAATAAAGGAATTCCCAAGCCATGGAAATGCTTTTGGCATCTTGATTATCTGGTTAAGTAGTAAGAAAATAGGCTTATGTTGGTTATATAGAGCTGAACCAAGTGTGAACTGAAAATCTTTACTGGAAGAAACAAATGGAAGAGCAGAAAATCAGTACTTTGTTAGGAAAAACTGAGAAACCTGAGGCTACGCCTAAGACTGTAAAATGCTGCATTTTATTTGCATGAAGCCTCTGAAAGATTCATGTCTCCCCAGGGGCTCATACGCTCTGAAAGCATGAATTTCCAGAAGACTTGCAAGCAGTGGGGCTCTCAGAAGAGTTTCGATGCACGAGTTGCAAATATTGCTTTGCAAGGGCAGGAAAAAAGTATCAAAGCACTGAAGGACTTTTGATGCTGGAAGCTCTCAAGGTGAGGAGCAGAAAGCCACCACACTCTCCGTGCATTAATGAATCCAGCTGTGCTGTGGCGAGATCTGCCACACGTGCTTGTGTTTGCATCTCTGGGAGAGATGCAGCCCTGCTCCCCCCAGCTCCCCATTCCTTTGGGAAATCAGAGCAGCGATTGCGTTTCTGCTCAGGAAGGCTGAGCGTGACCCGGGACAGCAGCAGAAGGGCTTGCCTCTCCCCCAGGAAGGGCTCTCTCCTCCCTCCATGCCTCTCCGCAGTAAAAAAATCCCATCCTCAGCCTGGGAATCCTTCCCAGGCATGGGAAGAGCTCTGACAGTCGGTGCCCCTGCCACCCGCTGAAAGCTGGTGATGGGACCGGCTGCGAGAGCAGGCTCCGGGGCGTTGGGCGGCTCTGGCTGCCCCGGGGCCGCGGCCCACGCGTGGGCTCCTGCGCCACACCGGGGGAAACCTCGGGCGCTGGGAAAGCTCCTCCCACCCCTCCGGCACGGGTGGTGTCGGAAGGGAAACGGCTCCCGTGAAAGTCGGCTGCGCTCCCCCGCGGGGACTTCAGACCCCCATCGCCGAAGGACGGGGAGAACAGAGCAGCGGCCGCGAGAGCGCGGAGCCGAGAGCAGAGCCCTGCGGAGCGCTGGGGCGTGGGAGACACCGCGGGGCCAGCGACGGCGGCTAGCGGGCCCGGAGGAACCGGCACAGGCACGCTGAAGAGAGAAGCCCACCCCTGTTGTGCCTTGGCAGAGAACAGCCAACCCTGCCAGACTGAGAGCCCCGAGACGGCGGCAGTGGGTGGCAGGGGAAAAGAACATTTTGTGAATAGACCAGCTCCCCTCATCAAGCACTCTTTTTTTCTCTCTCTACAATATGTGGAATTATAATTGTTAAGCAACAGAGCTGCTGGAAAAGCTCAGTGAAAATAAAACAAGCTTTTCCCTCTCCTGTTTGATTACGGCTGGATGGCAGAAAATGCAAATCCTCTCCACTTGCCATCTTTTTAACATACCATGGTCTGGTTTCTAAACTTGCTGTCACTCGGAGGAATTAAGTGCAAGCATCAAACAACTGAACCCTTCAGCCATGAGCAGAGCAGAGCTCTTACTCCTCCAGCGCCCTTTAGAGCAGCAGCACAGACACTTTTGTTCTGGCAGTCACCGAGGGATGGGGTCTCTCGGGCATCTGTCAAACGTTGGTGACACCGCCTCTGTGGGAACCCTCCGGGGCAGGTGGGCAGGCCTCCCCCCACAACCACTGCGAGAGCAGCAGCCCATGGCTTCCTGCATCCACCACGCTCCAGAAACCTTTCAAATTAGTGAACATTAAGCATGCTGCTGTCTTCCAAAGCGCCACAGATAACTGATTAGCCTGCTACTGGCGGGAACTGATCAAATTCAGCTCATGCAAACTGAAATGCAGCCTTACCCCTGCCTGAAACCACAACCCAGTAGTTCTTCGTATACTTGGAGTGCTTCTGTGTGGGCTCCCATTCCAGTCCACTGACAACCAGTGATAAAAAACATACTAGTGAAAAAAAATTTATCAACTCAATTTTGTGCCACCTCTATTTGAAGTGTCCAAGGAAGGCCCTGGTGAAGATCTGAACAGGATCAAGAAAAACAATAGGTACCTGCACAACAGGACTATTTCTCCACTCAAAATAGCCACTGCATGCTGGCAGAAGGCTGGGGGAGGTTGGGAGACAAAAGCAAGGGATTTAAACCAAGGTAGCTTACAGCACAGACACTGAATGATGAACCTTTGATGCATCGATAGTCTGACTTCCTCCCCCCCTTCAAAAAGTTGGGAGGAGATGAGGTGTTGCCCAGGAGCTCAGCTGGCTGTTTTACCGTTGTGGCAGCATGTGGTAATTCTCTGCGTGTTTCAAAACTGCCCTGCTGGCACAAATTTCAGGGTAGAAGAAAACTGCAGCTATTCTGTTAACAGAGGATTTCAGATCCCCCTTTGTGTGACCTTACAGTGGCTGAAACTGTTTCCTCATGTGCCAAGGACAAGCTCTGCCAGGGTAAAGCAGGGAACACCCAACAGAAAAAAGAATTTTCCACATGAACCGACTTCTACATTTCTTTAGAATTCTGGTACAAGTTTGATAAGTTTCAGCTACTTTTAGGGCCAAGTTTGTTTATTTTAGACAGATTAAACTTCTGTTTTAAGCATGATCAGGTCCCCCTTTAGGAGGTGCTGGTGCTCACAGCTGGGACTGTCAGACTGGATCACCAACAAAGCTGTGGTTACAGTCTCAGTTATGACTCCTTACCCTACATAATGCACATAAATGCATCAGCCGGGATGCATTCTATGAAAAATAAATTATAAAATAAAATAAATTTAAAATATGACTTCCCCCTGCCTCTTCAGCTTGCAGGACTGGCAGGGATGACTTTTTCACAGAAAATTATCCCAGAAGCACAAGTCCCCAGGCTCTCTTAAAATACTTCTTGGTCTGATCAAACTCCCATTGAAATAAACAGCAATATTTTTGCTGACTTTAAACAGTTGGCAAAAGTCTATGATAAAACAGTATTTTGAGCACCTATTCTGATACATTCCTTTTAATACATTAGCATGTAATTTATTGCCTATTTATTCCAACTGAGCCAGTTGAACTCTGCTGATGAATGCTTCTGTACATTACAGTGTTTCACACAAATACAGATGCCAGACTAGACACTGCATCACGAGTTGTTTCCAGGGTCACTTGCCACCGCTGCCTACACAGAAGACGGTAATTTGGTGAAGGAAAAAATACCGCACGTGCTGAACCCATGTCCAAAAAAATCAAACTCCAAATTCCGTGAAAAGCAATTTGCTGCATTTGCAGAAGTTTGGGAAGCTCCCGAGCACTGTAATAGCTGCTATGGAGAAGCATCACAGTTCTGGCTCTGCAGTTCCACCACTGTGGCAAAAGGGCTCAGGGGAAAGAAGAGCCTGTTCCTCTCCTGGGTGTTTAATAGGAAATGTGTGAAACTAAGAAGTTATTTTCATGGTAAGTCTCAATTATCCATGAAGGCCATATGCTATCAAATGATATGATGAAATGCAAGACAATGGGAGGCTGCAAAAGTAGGCACATAGGCTACGCTTAACTAGTTGTCACAGCTGAAAGCCTGCGCCAGTATCGACTCCTCCTGCTGCGACGTGTTGGCAAAGTGTTATCCTCCAGAAACACTGCGCCTCTTTGATCCCAGTCACATAGCGACAGCAATTTGTGCACAGCGAAGGACTGTTTTTCCATTTCTCCATTACTCAACCAACCCTTGTGAAAACCTAAAAACCAAATTCTCCAGAGAATTAGCACGCCCTAAAGCTGATACTCAACTACAAAACAACTACTCCAAACGTGTCCAAGGAGGTAAGTACTGGGCAGTGCTCATCCCCTGCTTCTCTGCTCACAGAAATATCATTTTTACTGCCAGATCTGTTGGATGCTGTTTACCAAAGCCTTGGCTCCATGCAACCAGTGACACCTGCCCCCAGGTTAAGGCAGAATCCAGCAGAGCAGTGGGCTCTGTCATGACCTGCACATCTTAAGCAAACTCATGCAACTTGGAAAATTTTTTTATCCCCCAAAGCAGACACATACTTCCATATTTTGTATATATAGACATCTATATCTTTCTATCTGTGAAGTTTGTTTGTTGCATTGATTACCATAACTATGTGACTGACTGATTGGAAGCTGTATTATAGTGTTTCCTGCTTACAAAAAAGCAAATACAAGCTTTTAGAAGCAAGCCATGAGGTCATTTCTTTCTGATTTTTTGCTAATTGAGCAGTAGGCATGCATCCTCACTGAACAGATACAGCAGCAATTTCCGTGGCTAATATAAAGTAACTTAACCATGAAATAAGCAGAGACGCTGCTTAAACATTTTATTCTTCACTTCCCTTTGTCCCAGCATTCTAGTTTAAAAAAAAAAAAAAAAAAAAAAATTAAATTCATCTTTCAGCAGTGAGGTTTCTCATAACATTCTTAAGTTTTACCCTTCTCAAAACACTACCTTGAAGGATTTCTTCTTCCAATAAATAACAACACGAATTGCAGTTGCACTTCAGAAAATGGTAAGACATAGCCGTGGAACTTGAGTTGTGGATCTTGCAAGTCTAAGTCAACGATACACACTGTGTATTTGTTTTCACGCACAGCATTTAGACGTCTTTCAACTGAAACATAAAAGCTTTTTTCAGATTTATTCTTCCCCCTGCAGCTGCCTGGACACCCTCCAAATCTGCCAGCTCAT